CAAACCGCCCCTGAGGGGAAGGTAAGGAGGCAGGTTTTGCTCAAGGCTCGGGGAAAGGCCGCTGAAACCACCATCTGCCACCCCCTAAGCTGCCTCTTTCCCCGTCAGCCCCGCGCTGGCAGCGTCTTCAGAGAGACCGGGGCAGCCAAAAGGCCACCATGCAGTTCCCTCGCAGGACCCGTCCCCAGCCGAGCGGAGGGGACCACAGGCCCTGCACTCGCGGCACAGCCCCTGCCAGCAGCCCCAGGCAGCGAGCGGCTGGGCCGGAGGCAGAGCGAGGGGGAAGCCAGCTCTGCTCCCTGCGTGAATGCAGATAAGGGGTAACCCCGGCACTGGCGACGTACAACTCTTGGCCTCTCCTGAATACAGCTGCTGTTGAAGCCCTGATAACCCACCGCATCGCGGCCGTTCAGGGAAAGCAGCCTTGGAAAAAGGCCAGTAAGGAGCAACGTTCCCCAGCAAAGCTGTTTGGTGCCTTTTAATGAATACCAGGGATGTCTTGGGCCCATCTACATCAGCTCCTGCCACGCAGCCTCTCCTCCTCCCATCCCTGTTACATGCCAGAAGCAACAAACACTGGCACCAGGAGAGCTCTGCCCTTGGCCCACACCGGAGCTCTGCACTCCCATGCCCAGAGCCAGCGTGGGAATGGGACCGCTGCGCTGTGCACTGGGCAGGGACGTGTGCCCTCCTCCCCCGGGCTGGCACAGGACCCCCGGCGAGCATGAGCGAATTACCCGGGAGGTCATGAAGAGCAGCTTGGTTTCCATGTCGGGAGTGAGGCGACAGGCCAGGAATTTGCGAGAAGTCCTTGACTGGAGGAGCTGCAGGACACCTGGGGAGAGACAGAGAGGTCAGACTGTGCTTCCATGGCCGCACAGATGGCACGGCATGAACGGGATCGGACATGGATCAACCAACATCCACAACAAGCTAAGCTCGGAGTGTTAAGCTCTGTTTCCCCAAGGGTAAAGGCAGTGGAAAGGGATCAAGGTTTTGGCTGGAAAAGGTCTCCTAAAACATCTCTTGTCTGGAGCAAGTTTTCGTCAGGGATCACTAATGCAGATGCCAGGCAGGAGAGCCTGGAGGAAGGGAGAGAGGATGCACAGCAGAGCAGGGATAAGATCTGGAGAAGAAATCACAGGATGGTTTGGGTTGGAAGGGACCTTAAAGTCCCCCCAGCCCCACCCCCTGCCATGGGCAGGGACAGCTTCCCTAGACCCGGTTGCTCCAAGCCTCATCCAGCCTGGCCTTGGACACTCCCAGGGATGGGGCATCCACAGCTTCTCTGGGCAACCTGTCCCAGTGCTCCCCATCCTCTGTGGGAAGAAATCCTTCGTGCTGTCCCATCTCCCTCTTTCCGTTTAAACCCGTTAACCCTTGTCTTGTCACTCCCTGCCCTTGGGAGGGAGTGTTAGGAACACAGACCCCCGGGTCTCTGTTAGGAAAATGATAAATTCCAGATGCCAAGTCCCAAGCTGTAACCAACAGAGCCCGTTCCCCATCTCCCACCCTCCTGCGAGGGAGCATAAAGCTGATCTGAGACTCCTCCCTGCTACAGTGGAACCACTCGTCCCTCCATAGCTGACGGCCTCGGCTGCAAGAGCCGCTCTTGTTCCCAGAGAGCTGCAGGAGGAGGAATTTATGACCCGAGCGGAAAGGCTTTGCCGCCGCTTGACAAGACCTGAAGGATTTACAGGGCAGCTGTCTCCGAGGCAGCCAGGCAGGTGCTGGGAGGCTGCGCACACGAGGCGCGCTTCACCCTCTCGCCCTTCGAAGTCGTCCCTCTGCCGCGCAGCCGGAGGGTACCACCTGGGGTATGGCTGGATAGGGAAGCTTCAAAGCAGGAATAACAGATGCCAGCCCCTGCGGAGCTCAGAGAAAGGGTGGGCGAGCTGCACATCACGGGAGGAGAGCCATGAAAGCACCTTGCTTGTTAAGAGCTGCCCGGTGCTCCGAGGGAGGCACGGGTCCTGCGCCCGGAGCCAGCCCCTGCTGTGCTTTGTCCTTGTGCTCGTGGCTGCCCACCTCCGGCCTTGGGCACAGCAGCGTGGAGCTCTCAGCAGGACTGACCAGGATTGGGGGTTACAGAGCGCTAGAAACCCGAGGGCACGTGGACTGGCAGCAGCGGGAGATGAGAGCCACTGCAGAGCGGATAGTACAGGCGCTCGACAGCGGGCAAGAGGGCAGCGTGACCTTATGGCCAGCTGCAGGGGAAATGGTTTTGGGAAGGGGCTCCACACGAGCAAGTACGAACGAGGGCACCCCCCGGCAGAGCAGGTTCTGCTTCCAGCGAGCATAGAGCTGCAGGAAGAGTCAGGGCTGAGCACTGGAAATGTGACACATGAGCCCTCCTTAGGTGTAGGGCTGAGACTGCCTCTGCTCGCCCCACAGACTGCCGACCCCGAGAGGGGACCCGGGCTCCTGCAGCCCTTTGGCTGGCAAGGCTCAGCAGAGACCAGCAGTGAGAGGAGACGGGTTCTGGAGAGGGAGAAGCAACCAGAGATCACAGAGCTCAAGGAGCATTTAATCAAATGATGTGCTGCAAGTTTCCCTGAGCATCATCCGAGATCTTTAAAATGACATTAACACGGCCCCTGAGAGGAGAACAGGCACCTGGGGGCGGGGGGAGGACACTTTAAAGCCCCATTTCCAGAGACTCACTAGAAATGCCGCAGACAAATGATGCGACAGCCCCTAGAGAAGTGAGTAACTTACACCAGTAACAGTTTTAAATGTAACACTCTCCCTTCATGTCTGTTTAACCCAGACATCACAGAGCTCCCCGGCTAAGCATTCGGCACACCCAGCGTGTGACTGGAGGAAATACAACCCCAGTTAGAAAGTGCCAGTCGCTGCATCTTTTGGACTTGTTGCTTTGGAGCTACAGACTTCTTTTCTGGAGAGTCTGAAGGACTCAGACGCTTTATATCTTTGGGCTCCTGCTTCATCTCAACTTATAAACCAGTTAATTCAAACAAAAAAGTAGCAGCTACAATTCTGGAAGCGTTAAGTCCAGAACAAACAGCACAATCTAACGGCCCTTGTCGTGGCCCAGCCACATTCTCAGGAGCGATCATTACAGCTGCCCCAAGTAGCGGGTTCTCGGGATGGATTCAAGCCCAGACACCTACAAGGCCTCTGCGCAAGGGGCCCAAGGCCTGGCCTGGATGGGTGTGCAGACTGAAAGTCCGTGCCGTGCAGGGTTTTGTGCCCCAAGAGTCGCTGGAATGGGCTGACGGTCACGGCAGCCTGGCCGCAAGGGTGTGCGGAGGCCGGAGGGGGTTGCTGAGGCCAGCGGGGCCTGGCAGAGGCTGTCCCCTGCGTGAGCCGGCCGTCCCTTCGGCCCTGCCTACCTGTGAACTGTGCGCTGAGGACCTGGGGGTTGTGGATGATGTCCTTCCAGAGCTGCTCGAACTCAGGGATCCTGGCAACGTTCTGCAGCAGCCGCACCAGGTCCCGGCCGATCACGAAGCAGTCCATGAACTGGGGGGAGGAAAACGCCCTCGGTTACTGCTTACCTGCCCCTGGGCAGTGGGCAGGAGAAGGCACTGGGGGGCAGGAGGAGGTAAGGGAGGAACAGTCAGTCCTTCAACCTCACCACCGGCTCCAGATGATTCACTCTTTGCACAGGATCT